GGCCAATGAGCTGAACCTCGGCCTCGACCTTCAGGGTGGTATGAACGTTACACTCGATGTAAGTCTGGATGAACTCGTACGTTCTCAAAGTAATAACCCTGATGATCCGGCGCTGATCAAAGCGATCGCGGACGCATCCAAGGCAAAAGCCAATAGTCAGGCAGACTTTGTTACCTTGTTCGGGGAAGCTTTCCGTAGAAATAATCCAAATACAAAACTGGCTTATCTGTTTACAAAACCCTCTGATAAGACCATCACCCTGCAATCTTCCGATGACCAGGTTTTAACCCAGTTGCGCAACCAGGGTAAGGACGCGATCAACAGTACGTACAGCATTCTGCAACGTCGTATTGATAAGTTCGGTCTTTCCCAGCCAAACATCAACCTGGATAAGAACCGTGGTATCATCACCGTAGAACTTGCAGGCGCCCGTAACCCGGAGCGCGTGCGGGAAGGCCTCCAGGCTGCTGCCAAACTCCAGTTCTGGGAAATGTACCAGGACCAGAACCTTGGTATCGCTATTAAGGAAGCGGATGAGATCCTGGCAGAACACCTATCCGGCATCAAGGTTGAAAAGCCTGCCGTAGATACCAATGCCACAGCTGCTGCCGCAACATCCACTGACACCGCTCAGAAAGTTGCTGCAACTCCTGCTGCCGCCGGTGATACCAGCCTGAGTGGCCTGATGGGCAATAACACTGCCGGTGCTGCTGATGCAGGTAACGACACACTTGCTGCCAGCCATCCCCTGATGGCCCTGCTGAGCGCACAACCAGACAAGGACAGCTATGATCCTGCTGCTGTTGCCTACATCCGCAAAAGCGATATCGCCAAGCTGAATGAATACCTCAACCTGGAAGATGTAAAGAATGTAATGCCTACAACAGCCAAGCTCCTGGTGGGCGCGGAAAAGGGCGAAAATAAATTCAAGGCAAATGCCGTACTACCGGTATATGCTGTGAAAACACAATCTGACGGCAGCTCCAAGCTGGAAGGTGACCAGATCAGCGATGCTTATTCTGAGTATGACAACGGCCAGCCGGTAGTAATCATGCAGCTGAAGAATGAAGGTGCGCAGGTATGGAAAAAAATGACCGGTGAGAATGTTGGCCGTTATGTAGCGGTTGCCCTCGATGACCGTATCTACTCTGCACCAAGAGTGCAAAACGAGATCGGCGGTGGTAATACACAGATCACTGTAGGTAACAACGCACAGGAAGCACAAGACCTTGCGAGCATTCTTAAGATCGGTAAGCTGCCTGCCCCTGCACACATCGTACAGGAACAAGTAGTAGGCCCTACCCTGGGTGCTGAAAATATCACTGCGGGTATGAACTCCC